AGAGACGGGATCTGCTACATTGTCCAGGCTGTCCTCCAACTTCAGGACTGGGCTCAAGCAGTCCTCCTTCTTTAGCCTCTCAAAGCTTTAGAATTACAGGCATGAGCCACTGTGCCTGGCTTGTGACTGTTTTCAAATATAAACATACCTATTCTGTCATTCTTACAACTTTGAATGTAGGTAATTTTATCCATCTAATGTATTGATAATGTCTGTGGCATGATCCAGACACATACAATGATTATAAAATAGGGAGGCTCTGATATTTAATACAAATTACTATGGTACAACTACTCATTCTTGTGTAGATTATTGTTATTTTAAAAATAATACTCTTGCTATGTCACCTCATTTCATTATTGTGAGTACCTGTTCTACTTGCTTTTTTTTTGGAGACCAAGTCATGCTCTGTCACCCAGGCTGTAGTACAGTGTCACAGTCTCGGCTCATTGCAACCTCAGCCTCCCAGGTTCAGTCGATTCTCCTGCCCCAGCCTCCCAAGTAGCTGGGACTACAGGCATGTGCCACCACGCCCAGCTAATTTTGTTTGTATTTTTAGTAGAGATGGGGTTTTACCATGTTAGCCAGGATGGTCTAGATCTCCTGACCTTGTGATCCACCTGCCTCAGCCTCCCGAAGTGTTGGGATTATAGGTGTGAGCCACCATGCCCAGCCTATTCTTTTTTGGTGTGAAATTTATATGTATGTAATTTTGAAATAGTTGAGAGTTAATAGAAAAGTTAAAAAACAGGCTAGGCCTGGTGGCTCATGCCTGTAATCCCAGCACTTTGGGAGGTGTAGGTAGGCAGATTTTCTGCAGTCAGGAGGTCTGAGACCAGCCTGGCCAACGTAATGAAACTCCATCTCTACTAAAATGTAGAGACTAGCTGTCTCTACAAAAATTAGCTGGCGTGGTGGCACACACCTGTAATCCCAGGTACTCAGCAGGCTGAGACAGTAGAAAAACTTGAACCTGGGAGGCGGAGGTTGCAGTGCACCGAGATTGCTTCACTGCACTCCAGGCTGGGTGACAGGGTGAAATTCCATAAATCAATCAATAAAATAATAGAGTTGTAGCTGAGTGCAGTGGCTCAAGCCTGTAATCCCAGCACTTTCAGAATCTGAGGTGGGAGGATTGCTTGAGCCCTGGAGTTTGGGACCGCTTGAACCACATAGTAGACCCTATCCCTACCCCTGCCCCCACCAAAAATAACTGGGTGTGGTGGCACATGCCTATAGTCCCAGCTACTTGAGGCTGAAGTGGGAGGATTCCCCAGAGCCCAGGAGGTCAAGGTTGCAGTAAGCCATGATTGCACTACTGCACTCCAGCTTGGGTGACAGACTCTGTTTAAAAAAAAAAAAATTTATGAATTAAAAGTTATCCTCAAGACTTTTCCTGTTCTTCAGTAGAAGAAACATTTATATTAGTAAATGATTGTGAGCATTAGTAAATGTTATAAAGATGATAAAGTAATGTGGTAGATAATGATCTCGGTTGCTATCTTAACTGTGGAACTGTATAAAATGCCTCTTAGGAGAGGCAACTTTTGAGTTAAAACATAAATATTATGAAGTGGTGGAAGACCTGGGGGCAGCACATTGCAAGCCGAAGAACAGCGTGTACAAGAGCCCTAAATTAGGAACAAAGTGTGAGGAAAAGAGAATATACCAGTAAGGCTAGAGAGTAATTGAATAAAAAGGAAAGTAGGTCCATCAGGGCCTGACATCCCAGCATTTTGGGAGGCCGAGGCAGGTGGATTGCTTGAGCCCAGGAGTTCAAGACCAGCTTAGGCAACATGGCAAAGCCCTGTCTCTGCAAAAAATAACAAAAATTAGGCAGGTGTGGTGGTGCACGCCTGTAGTCCCACCTACTCAGGAGACTGAAGTGGGAGGATCCCTAGAGCTTAGGGGGTTGAGGCTGGAGTGAACCGTGATTATGCTGCTGCACAGCAAGCTGGGTGATAGAGCAAGACCCTGTCTCAAAAAACAGACAAACCAAAAAAAAACAAAGAAAAAAAGAAGATGAAGCTAGTTGTAGACAGATACCAGATCATATAGAGTCTCTGTAGGTAGGTCATTTTTAATATCATATAGGGTCTTAGTAGTTCATAGTTGTAATGCAGGTAGGGTCACAGCAGGAAGCCTTTGGAAGGTTTTAAGCAGATTATTCCCATGATCTGGTTTATGCTGTACATGGTGCATTCTGGTTGATCTGGTGCAGATTAATTGTAGAGAGGTAGGATTTGAAGCAGAGAGACAAATTTGGAGGGTATTGGAGCTGGGATTACAGGCATACGCCACGATGCCCAGCTAATTTTTGTATTTTTAGTAGAGACAGTGTTTCGCCTTGTTTCCCAGGCTGGTCTTGAATTTATGGACTCAAGTGATCCTCTGGCCTCCCAAGTAACTGGATTACAGGCTTATACCTCTGTGCCTGGCTTGGTGAGGCTTTTGTTCAGAAGAGACATGAGGCTTTGTATAGCTAGGGGAGAAAGAGTTGACCCTTAACCCTGAGAGAAGCAACATGGAGTTATGGAGAAAATATCCTTTTTCAAAGGGACTAGTATTAGAGATCTTGGGTTGGTGACTTTATGAGGTGGGCAGTGCTAAGGTCTTAGTTTCAGAGACAGTAAAATAATAGTTCTTATTACTGCGTGTTTGTATTGATAGTATTTAGGCCCTATTTTGGTTCATTTATTTACTAATTTATGTATTGTACTATCTCCTGGAGTTAGAAATGCTTTTAAATACAAAAACATAAACAGTGGAAAGTCTCTTTCCATATCCCTCAGCTACCCTGTTTCTGATCACACCATTCCTCCAACACTCCACCCCACCAGAAAACTATTGTTCAGTTTCTCATGTAACCTTCTAGAGTTTCTTTATATAAATAAAGATAAATAAAAATACAGATTCTGGCCAGGTACAATGGCTCGGGCATGTAATCTCAGAACTTTGGGAGACTGAGGCAGGCAGATTGCTTGATCCCAGGAGTTCAAGAGCAGCCTGGGCAATGTGGTAAAACCTGTCTCTACAAAAAATAGAAAAATTAGCCGGGGGTCTTGGTGCACATCTGTAATCCCAGCTACTTGGGAGACTGAGGTGGAGGATCACCTGAGCCCGGGGGGGTCTAGGCTACAGTGAGCTGCAGTTGCGCCACTGCACTCCAGACTGGGCAACAGAGTTAGACTGTCTCAAAAACAAAAACAGATAGAAAAATTAATAAATAACTACAGATTGTTGTTCTTTCTGTCTACCCAAAAATCCACCAATCTCAAGGGTAGCATATTATAACTGTTATTTTGCAAATGTCTTCCCACCTCCCCCCTTACACAGTGCGTTTTTCACTTAGCAATATTTACACAGACAGTCTTTCCATAGAGTATATAGTTTTTTGTTTTTTTTTTTGATATAGGGTGTCATTCTATTGCCTAGGCTGGAGAGCAGTGGTGTGATCTTGGTTCACTGCAGCCTGGGCCTCCTGTACTCAAGTGATCTTCCCACCTCAGCCTCTGAGTAATTGGACACAGGCATGTGCCTCCACTCATGGCCCTGGGTTTTATTCTTAAGAGTGATTTTAGATTCACAGCAAAATTGAACAGCGGGTACAGAGAGTTTTCACATATACCCCACACAGTCATAACTGTACCCACACTTGCATAGCCTCCCCCACTATCAACATCCTGAATAAACAAGTTTGTTATATTTGAGTTCACCAGTTCTCTTACTTTTGGGAACACAATCAGCTTTATGTACTTTGAAATTATTCTAAAGTTTGTTTTATAATGTTCCTCTCATTTAAAACAAATTCGTTTTCATCAAAAGACACCATAAAGTGAAAACATGCCACATATTTTGGGATAAATAAATGTAATATATGTAATAGGGAATTAGTGTCCTGACCATGGCTGGCTGCATGGGTGTGCAGTCTGAGCAGTCACACGGGACCCCTCATTTAGATGGTTCCCTGTGCTTAATTTATTGGTAAGCTGTCACCGTCTTGAAATTCTTTATTTTTGGAAAAGTGGCCCAACGTCTTTATTTACTTATTTTAAAGTGTTTTTATGGTGAAAAATTTATATTTGGAATTTGCCAGCTGAACTCAATTTAGGTTATTGCAGTTTTGTTGGCAGCGTTCAAAGCATCTTAGTCAGGAATCTGTTGAACATATGCTTTCTCTCTGTCAGACCTGATCCTGGTGTTGACCTTGGCCATGTCAGAGTCCTAGAGCTTCTTCACAGCCTGTTTGATCTGATGCTTGTTGACTTTGACATACACAACTAATGCAAGTGTGGTGTTGTCTTCCATGTTCTCACTGGTCAGGGTTAAGCCTGTTTTTCTTGGGAGTGCTCTTCCTGGGATATTTTGGCTGTACTGTCTTGGGGCAGCCTAAAGGTGGGTAGCGTGCGGGTATCTTTCCACAGTGTGTTTTTTGGCTTTTAAAGCCTTTGTTTGGGCTTCAGCTTTGGGAGAGGCAGGGGCTTCCTTTTTCTTTTTTGGTGCCATCTTGGTGAAAAGGCCTCACAGTTTTTTTGTTTTGTTTTGTTTTGCTTTGTTTTTAGTTTTAAGGAGCAGGGAGTTTAATAGGCAAGAAAGTAGGGGGAAGAAAGAAAGAAGCAGCTCCCCTGTATAGAGACAAAGGGAGGGGGGCTCCAAAGCGGAGAGAGGGAACCCCCAAGGCCTTGCATTTTTTTTTTTTTTTTCGGGTTACTCAGCCCTGAGGCCTCACATTTTTATTTTGCACTGGGCTCTACAAATTATGTTGTTTGTCCTGGTCCTGACTATATAAAGCCTGCTAATTAATTAGAAAAAGACAATCCGATAGGAAAATGGCCAACATCTGAGAGCAAAGAAATAGATCTTCACCCTCATTAGATCTTCAACCTACATGTTTTTAAATGTGTAGCATTAACAAATGATTAAATATATGAGTAATAAAATTTATCTGACTTAATTTGGCTTATTTAGATTAATACTTTTGTCTTCAATCTTTTTTGTAGTATATGTTCTAACTGGAAAAAGTCTTCCATGAAACCGTCACTTTAAAAAAATAAGTAATGGCATCTGTTTCCCTAAAAGACTGAAATGGGGGCAATCATTCTTAGGTAAGTATCGAATTTTGTATTTTTAATTACTAATATTGGTTAGATTATACATTTTTTAGTTAACCTATGAGGTAGGGAGTGGGAGTGGGAGGGATGCTAGGTCTTATTTGAAGATAGTCTGTTATTGAGGATTATGTTTCCTACAGTTAAGAACAGAGCTTCATGAAACAGAGATAAAGGTCAGTAGTGTTCCAAGCTCTTCAGACAGGTTAATTGAAAACTGAAGAAACTTTTTTGGATTTGGCAGTTAGGAATTCATTGATGATTCTAGCAGGGGCCGTTTCAGGAGGCTGATTATGGCTGAAAATCAGCTTGCAATGAAGTGAAGAGTAAAGAGGAGGTGATAAAATCCAAATATTTCAGCTAATTCACGTATTAAACCCATAGGTATTAAAGATGCAGCCATTACTTCCTTAAGCACTGGAGTTACAGTGAGGGTAGCCATATATCCTGATTCAAATCTCTTGTAGATCAATTCATGCCCAGTTGTTATTTATTCTTTTTTTTTTTAGATGGAGTCTGGCTCTCTTGCCCAGGCTGGAGTGTAGTGGTGGGATCTCGGCTCACCACAACCTCTACCTCCTGGGTTCAAGCGATTCTCCTGCCTTGGCCTCCTGAGTAGCCAGCACTACAGCACGTGCCGCCATGCCCAGCTAATTTTTTTGTATTTTTAGTAGAGACAGGGTTTCACTGTATTAGCCAGATGGTCTCGATATTCTGACCCCGTGATCCATCTGCCTTGGCCTCCCTAAGTGCTAGGATTACAGGTGTGAGCCACTGCTCCTGGCCTGCCCAGTTATTTGTATTTTTATTTTTTTGACATGGAGTCTTGCTCTGTCATGCAGGCTGGAGTACAATGGTGCAGTCTCAGTTCACTGTAACCTCCGCCTCCCAGGTTCAAGTGATTCTCCTGCCTTAGCCTCCCAAGTAGTTGGGATCATAGGCGTGAGTCACCAAACTCGGCTAATTTTTGTATTTTTAGTAGAGATGGGTTTCATCATGTTTGCCAGGTTGGTCTTGAACGCCTAACGTCTGCCTGCCTTGGGCTCCCAAAGCGCTAGTGGGATTGATTACAGGCATGAGCCTTTGCGCCTGGCCTAACGCCCAGTTATTATTATTATTATTTTTTGAGACAGAGTCTCGCTGTGTCACCAGGCGCAAGGCTGGAGTGCAGTGGTGTGGTCTTGGCTCATTGTAACGTCCACCTCCTGGGTTCAAGCAATGCTCCTGCCTCAGCCTCCCAAGTAGCTGGGACTACAGGCATGTGCCACCACACCCAGCTAATTTTTTTAGTAAAGACAGGGTTTCATTATGTTGGCCAGGATGGTCTCGATCTCTTGACCTCATGATCCACCCGCCTCAGCCTCCCAAAGTGCTGGGATTACAGGCATGAGCCACCACGCCTGGCATTTTTAATGCCCAATTATTTCTAATACTGTCTTTTACTCTCAAGTTTACTGGTTTGGACAATAAATGTGATCATCCCTAGTTATACTGTTAATAGGACAGACATATTCCCTGCCTGGGGGTATGCTTGCCTGCTAGATACTTTAGCATTAGCAAGTAGTATATTTTGGGTAAATGGGAATGATCCATTTGCATGTATTTTATTTATTTATTTTGAGACAGAATCTTGGTCTGTCCGCAGGCTGGAGTGTAGTGGTGGGATCTTGGCTCACTGCAACATCGACCTCCTGGGCTCAAGCAGTCCACCTACCTCCCAAGTAGCTGGGACTGTAGGTGTTCACCACCATGCCTGGCTAATTTTATATGTTTTGTAGAGATGGGTTTTCACCAGGTTGCCCAGGCTACTGTCGAACTCCTGAGCTCAAGTGATCTTCCTGTCTCAGCCTCCCAAAATACTGGGATTACAGGTGTGAGCCATTTTTCTCAGCTTGCACGTAGTTTAAATATGAAAGAGAATGATTAAGATTTTACTCTGAGAAGGTAAGAACTTTGAGATCAAAGACATAGGTAAAGGGCTTAGCTCTTAAAAGAGTAGCAGTCTTTCTGCTTAGAAACTAGAGGACTGGAAGAGAGGATATATCAAGGAATTTTCAGGCAAAGAGGATGAAGCTGTAGAACTTCTTTTCTCCTTCCCTTTCTCTCCCTCTCCCTTCCAGCAGGTCATACTCTGTTACCCAGGCTGGAGTGCAGTGGTGCAATTATAGCTCACTGCAACCTTGAACTCCTGGGCTCATGCAGTCTTCCCACCTCAGCTTCCTGAGTAGCCAATACTGCAGGTGTGTGCCACCATACCCAGCTAACTGTAGGATTTTTTAATCTTACTTTTTTAATAATGTAGGGATTGAGGTTATTTATCTATTTAGCATATAGTTAATCAGTGGTGAGGTTGGGATCCTGGGAGGAGAAAGCATTTAGGAAAATCATTGTAGGGCAGCTACCAAATTCACCAAATATTTATTGACCACCTGTATTGTGTCAGGCACTCTTGCAGACAAGACTAAGTGTTCTCGTGGAGCAAATCATTGGAGTGAACAAGAACAATAGAAAATTGTAATGTGATATGAAAAGAATTAAAATAGGGCAGTTGATAGTGACTGGTTGTCTTCTTCTGAGGAGGTGACATTAAGGTCTGAAAGACAAGAATTTAGCCAAGCTAAAAAAAACATGCTGTATAAGTTTAAACCTCAAGGTGAAAATGAGCTGATTATGTTTGAGGAATGGAAAGAATTCTAGTGTTTCTGTAATAGGGTGGATGAGGACCATAATGTCATGAAATGAGATTAAAGAAGTAGGCCAGGCACAGTGGCTCCACATCTGTAATCCCAGCACTTTGGGAGGCCAAGGCAGTAGGCTTGAGGCTAGGAGTTTGAAACCAGCCTGAGCAACATTAATAAGCCCCTATCTCTTAAAAAAATTTAAGATTGAAGAAGTAGGCAGAGTAAGACCACGTAGTGCCATGTGGCTGTGGTAAGGAGTTTAGACTCAAAGAAGTCTTGTGAGTTTTGGTTTTTTTTTTCCTCCCCAGATGCAGTTTTGCTCTTGTTGCTCAGGCTGGAGCGCAATGGTGCAATCTTGGCTCACTGCAACTTCCGCCCCCCGGGTTCAAGCAATTCTCTTGCCTCAGCATCTCAAGTAGCTGGGATTAAAGGCACCCACCACTACGCCGGCTAATTTTTTTGTGTTTTTAGTAGAGATAGGGTTTCACCATGTTGGCCTGACTGGTCTTGAACTCCAGACCTCAGGTGATCCACCCACCTCAGCCTCCCAAAGTGCTGGGAGTATAGGCATGAGCCACTGTGCCTGGCATCTTGTGAGTTTTTAAGCATAAAAGTGATATGATATGATATATTCCTTAGAGTCCTCTGACTGCTTTATTGAAGGTGAATTATTGGTGCAGAGTGGAAACGTAAAGGTCAATTAAGAGGCTGTTGAAATTGACCAGGCCGGAGATGATGGTGACGAAACTTAATATGACCACCAGGATAGAATAGAAAGGATTGCTGAGCAATAGTAAAGGCCTAGTTTGACATAAGCTGGCATGACATATCGGGCAGTATGAATATAGCTAGCATAACCTTTTAGGTGAATAAGAAATTTGACACTGATAGTTGAAACAACTGTCTATGAAATGCAAGATTGATAAAGGGATGCATCAAGGCACGGGAGGCCATTATTTATTGAGTACATATTTACTGCGCATCTACTAATATACCAAGAACTCTGCTGGCTGCTAGGGTTACAACAGTGAACGAAAACAGAGGCCCATTTCTCATGGAGTTGACATTCTAATGTGGACAGAGAAGATAAACAATAAATATATAGTCATCTGTGCTATCTGTGGGGAATTGTTTCCAGGACCCTTGCAGATACCAAAATCCAGAAATGGTCAAGTTCCTGATATAAAATTGTATAGTCTTTGCAATACAACCTATGCATATCCTCTTGTATACTTTAAATCACCTCTTGCTGGATGAGCATGCTGGCTCACACCTGCAATCCCATCAGGAGACTAAGGCAGGAGGATCACTTGAGCCCAGAAGTGATCACATTACTGGACTCCAGCATGGGTGACAGATTGACACCTCATTTTCTTAAAAAAAAATTCTCTCGGTTAGGCGGGGTAGCTGACGCCTGTAATCCAGCACTTTGGGAGGCTGAGGCAGGTGGATCACCTGAGGTTAGGAGTTCGACTGGCCAACATGGTGAAATTTGTTCTCAACTGAAAACACAAAAATCAGCTAGATTTGGTGGCACTGGCCTGTAATCCCAGCTATTTGGGAGGCTGAGGCGGGAGAATCGCTTGAACTCTGGAGGTAGAGGTTTCAGTGAGCCAAGATTGTGCCACTGTACCTCAGCCTGGGCAACAGACTGAGACTCCATCTCAAAAAACAAAAATCATCTCAAGGTATCTTGGAAAATGAAAATAAATTATAATACCTAATACAATGTAAGTGCCTTTTAATAGCTGTTATTGTATTGTTTAGGGAATAATGACAATAGAAAAAAGTCTGTACTTGTTTAGTACAGGCTCAACATAACCACTACCCCATCCAATATATTCTTTTTTTTTTTTCTTTTTAAATTTTTTTGAGTCTCACTTTGTTGCCCAGGCTGGAGTGCAGTGGTGCGATCTCGGCTTACTACAACCTTTGCATCCCTGGTTCAAATGATTCTTCTGCCTCAGCCTCCTGAGTAGCTGGGCTTACAGGTGCTCATCACTATGCCTGGCTAATTTTGTATTTTTAGTGGAGATGGAGTTTCACCATGTTGGCCAGGCTGGTCTCTATAACTCCTAACCTCAGGTGATCTGCCTGCCTCTGTCTCCCAAAGTGCTGGGATTACAGGCGTGAGCCACCATGCCCCCTAACACACCCCCCTGCCACCCCTGTCCAATATTTTTTATTCAGAGTTGGTTGAATCCACAGATGTGGAACCCACCGATGCAGAACACATGGATATGGGAGGCTTCCTATATAATATGTTGGGTAGTGATAAGTGCTATTTTGAAGATTTATACCTTGTTTGCCATTGTCATTAAGGTATGGAAATATATTAGGGAAAAGTAGACATTGATGGAGGGGGGGTATGTTTACTAAGGTGAAGTTAGGGAAGACCTCTCTGATTAGGTGACATTTGAGCTGACAGCTCTAAATGAAGTGAGGGAGCAGGCCCTCTGGGTATTTTGGACAGGATGGGGAGGGCATTTTAGACTGAAGGAACTTCAATACAAAGTGTTTGAGGCTGGACTGTGCTTGATATGTCTTATGAGCTGCAAGAGGGCCAGTGTGGCTGCATTGAAGTAAGTGAGGGAGGAGGTAGCAGGAGCTGACATCATCATTGTGTATGTGGTAGATAGAGGCTTGAGTCAAGTTATAGACCAGATTAAGGCCTTTGGTTTCTTTTTTGTGATGGTGGAGATGCAGATCCAGGAATGAGGATGTGGTAGGAAGTGAGAGGTCAGGCTGTGGCTGAGAGGTGTAACTTGAGACTAAAAAACTGTGAGGCTGCCAGGTGCAGTGGCTTACCCATGTAAATCCCAACATTTGGGGAGGCTGAGGCGGCAGATTGCTTGAGTTTGAGACCAGCTTGGGCAACATGGCAAAACCCCATCTCTACAAAAAATATAAAAATTAGTCGGACCTGGTGGCTGTAGTCCCAGCTACTCAAGAGGCTGAGGCTGGAGGATTGCTTGCACCTGAGAGGTGGAGGTTACAGCAAGCCGAGATGGCACCACTGTGCTCCAGCCTCAGTGACAGAGCGAGATGTCTCAAAAAAACCCCCAAACAAACCATGAGGTCAGATGTTTGAAGTATATGAAAGTGAAGATGAGAGAAGAGGATATGCAATAAAACAGTTTTGAATACCACAGGGAGGTAGGAAGAGTAGAAAAAGGTGAGTTGGAGGCACAGAGGGCCTGTAACTTCATAATGGACAAGTTTATTTGGCTTCAGGTGTCTTGTTCTGTTTTGTTTTTGAGTTGGAGTCTCACTCTGCTGCCCAGGCTGGAGGCAGTGGCATGATCTCAGCTTGCTGCAACCTCTGCCTCCCAGGTTCAAGCGATTCTCCTGCCTCAGCCTCCTGAGTAGCTGGGACTCAGGGTTAAAAAAAAATTGGTAAAATACACACAATATAAAATTTAGCATTTTGCTTTTTCTGTTTTTTTTTTTTTTTTAGATGAGGACAGGGTTTTACCCTGTTTATCAGGTTGGCCTCTAACTCCTGCTGAGCTCAAGTGATCTGGCCACCTTGGCCTTCCAGAATAGTAGGATTATAGGTGAGAGCCACTGCACCTGGGCAAAACTTAACCACTTTTAAGTGTATAATTCAATTGTATTAAGTACATTCACCAAAGTACATCACCACTGTCCACCTCCAGAACTTTTTCATCATCCCAAACCAAAACTCCATACCCATTTAATAATAACTTCTCATTGCTCTCTTTTTTCTTGTTTGTTTTTTGTTGTCGTTTTTTTTTGAGATGGAATCTTGCTCTGTCACCTAGAGTAGAGTGCAGTGGCTTGATCTTAGTTCACTGCAACCTATACCTCTCAGGTTCAAATGATTCTCCTGCCTCAGCCTCCCAAGTAGCTGGGACTACATGGGTGCCATGTAGTGGCACTACATGGGACTACAGGCAGGTGCCACCATGCCTGGCTAATTTTTTTGTATTTTTAGTAGAGATGGGGTTTCACTGTGTTAGCCAGGATGGTCTTGATCTCCTGACCTTGTGATCCACATGCATTGATCTCCCAAAGTGCTGAGATTACAGACGTGAGCCACCACACCCAGTCTGCTCCCACTTCTTTAGTCCCCAAAAACCGCTGTTCTATTTTCTGTCTGTATGAATTTGACTACACTGCTTCAGGTGTCTTGTATAAGTGGAATCATACAATATTTGTCTTTTTATTTCTGACTTATTACACTTGGCATTATGTTTTTAAGGTTCATTTTTATTGTAGCATGTAGCAGAATTTCATTCCTTTTAATGGCTAAATAATATTCCTTTATATGTCCACACCATGTTTTTTTTGGTCTATGCATCTGTTGGTGGTAACACTGGTGCTGTTTCTGCCTTTGGCTATTGTGAACAATGCTGCTGTGAGCACTGGTGTACAAATCTGAGGGAATCCCTGCTTTCAGTTCTTTTGTATACATACCCAGAAGTGATATTATTAGATCATATTGGATCATATGCTTTACTTTCTCTATTTTTTTTTTTGAGACAGGGTCTTACTCTGTCTCCCAGGCTGGAGTATAGTGGTGCAGTCATGGCTCA